GGTGTGCGCTATTGTGTAATTATTAGTGTGTGTGTCTGTGTATCGGTGTGTGTTAGTCAGCGAGTCTGTTTAGTTTAATTGTTGCGCGTTCTTGTAACAACACTGTGTAGGAATGTATGTTTGTCGTCAATGAATGTGCGTTGGGGTGGGGGGTGGTGGTGGTGGTGTGGGTACGCGGGTGTTTGTACAATCCTCCTCGGGTCGCAAACCCCAACTCCAATCGTGACGCGCGTGCAAGCCGAAGCCGATCCGTGCGCGCCACCTGGGCTCCCGTCGACTTGGCCATCATCAGCATCTCGGTGCTACCTAGCCTCGACCCCGACTCTCCCCCCTCCCCCCACACACACACACACTTCACCTTGTCTCAGACTCTTAAGCGAGCCGACAAACTACCGCTATATAGTTGCACAAGTACAGCCGTGGAGTGTGGTACTGAAAACACGGTAACTCAACGCCACCGGCTGTGCGGAAGTCTTCTCTTCCTGTTCGATACAAACTCACTCATTTACTCACCCACACTCGCTCACCGAAACCTGCGCGTTCCACACAGCTCCTCACCTGCGCCTCTCAAGCCGTGTTGGTGCAGGTTGACCAACGGGTGCACCGGTCCAGGGAGGGAGGGAGGAGGAGGAGGAGGGCAACCCTTGACTTGCAAGTGCAGCGAGCAGAGGGCAAATAGTGGGCGCCTCACCTGGGCCAGGTGCTAACGTGGCGGGCAGGGGGCGGGGCTCGGGGGAGGGGCGGGGGGGGGTCTCTCACCTGGGCGCGGTGGATCCACGTGTTGGGCCGTCAATGGGGCTTTTGTCTCATGCCGCCAGCGTTGCGTGAACACTGCGCCTTTAAACGCATCACAGCCGGTTATACCTGCCCGATTTGTCTTATACGATGCTTGTGTTATACAATGGACAGCGGCCATCGCTCGCTTTCTCTCGGTTTTAGCGAAGTATTTGGTTCAAGGTTGACGTGGAGGTCGTAATTTGTTTTAGCTGTCAAGCACACGAGGCGTGAAGCAATTAATGAACATTGCAATATTGGGTTTGACCAATCAACCTCCGGGTCATGATATTTTTAGATCCTTTTTTGGTCTCTAGATTTCTCATTATAAGCGTAGACTATACAGTGCCAAATGTCACATTTACAACACTTCTCGGCCACTACCATAATTATATTTGCATACAGCCACGAACAACAAACTGGTGGATGCAGAGAATACCAGGAATCTCATGCACTATAAAGAGAGGGAAAGCATGTTGGCAAGTTCGGACGAGTCGACGTTGTGGGGGTGTGTAATGGGTTGGATAAGTGTGCAGTATGGAAGAGAGCAGGCTACCCACCCAAGCGCTGGATTGGCATCCAGGGGTGACCGGCCAAAGGGAATACCAAAACCCATATTGTTCTGAAGATGCGACTGTAATAGCGGTCCTTGAAAGACATGTTGACTGTGACAAGCGCACATACAGCCAGATACTGTGGCATTAAGAAGGGCGTTGGAGTGTCGACTTAGCAACAACGTGGTAGTCTAGCAACAGAAAGGACGTGATTGGAAAGTGTCACGGCATCAACATAATTGACAAGAATGATATCTTTACTCGCAACATTTTAAGAGGTCGGCCTTTTATTGTTAAAGTGAGACACCAAACATACACACATGTTATATATATATACAGTATTCACTGACTTAAACAGTACTTCACTTAATTTGTGAATGTGGCTTTTAAGAGCGTCAATGTGGTTTGAAGTGTTGATTGCCTTTCTTACATTTGCAAGAAAATACGCGTGTGTAGGTAGCCTATCGGATATGGAAATTTTGAGTTTCCAAAAGTTGTGTGGTCGTGGGCAGCAGTTTGAAACTCACAGAAATGGAACCTGTGGTTTTCCACGAAAACTGTAGCAACCTTCTCTCATCTTCTTTGGTTCTTTCGGTAAAGTCACGTAGAATGAGAATAAAATAATAAAATAAAACTGACTTTAGTTTTCGTGCAGTCAAGAAAGCTTTAAATCGAAATTTAACCTTCTCTCGTATTCTTGGTTCTTTCGGTGAAGTCACGTAGAAGGGAAATAATAAAATAAAAAATTATACTCTTTGGTTCTATTCGGTAAAGTCACGTAGGTAAAAAAAAATAAAACAACAAAAATCACCTACGTGACTTTACCGAATAGAACCAGAGTATGGATCCTTGCAGTCACGAAAGCTTCAAATCTAGAATTAATAAAAATTAATCAATAAAATTCTCACGACGTTTCGATTGCAACAAAAGCAATCATCATCAGCAAAAAAAATGTCTTGCCACAGCACCTGATGATGATGTGCTTGTGTTGCAAACGAAACGTCGTGAGAATTGTATTGTTTTATTTTCAATATTTCCCTTCTACGTGACTTTACCGACAGAACCAAGAATATGAATCTCTGCAGTCACGAAAGCTTTAAAACGAAATGTAACCTTCTCTCAGTTACGCTTTCCCACATTTAGGTGCTGTGTTTGGGTTATTGCACCTTTTTGGTTCATCAACATGTTAGACAGCGCAATAGGTTTTGTCTACTTAACAAGTCGTACCTTGCTTTATCGTGATTTATGCGTTAAATATCACGTGTTGAACTAGTAAAGCTATGTTTAACGTAATATTGCATACATTTTACAATTCTATGTTAATCAGCTCGTCGATGCCCTCCATAAGCCTTTGTTGTCCTGTGAAGATTGGTATATATATATTCACCATGCGGATCAGGGGTGTATAAGATTATGAAAATATGTACAAATGGAATGAGTGTGCAATGCCATATATAGGAAGTACAGTACATGTATTTTACGAAATGAATGTTACGTTTTCGGTAACTGTTTTCAGAATCAATTACGGGTTTTGAAAGTCAAGAACCGGTAATCATTTCCAGTGGAATTTTGGAAATATGTTGAACTTCTTTCGCACCATGCGTAGCCAACCGCGCTACTCAGAGGTGCGAACTGATTGGCACGTGCGAACATACAATCGGAACGGCGGCCTCGGGCACTGCGTGGTTTGTTTACCCTTCTCAGTTAAAAAGGTAAAGGTGCAAACACTGCAATTGCTTGCTCGCTCACACAAGTCCTGGCAGAAAAGGGGCTTCCACGAGACAGAGCTCTAGAGGGTATTTGGTGCACTATTCCAGACCGACCAAAGCTTGGATAAGGTAGGTATACCACCACTTTACCCACTACACGCGACGTGCCAATTGACTGTGTACCCACTTATATTGCCGGGTGGATTGAAGCGGGAGGATTTAAGAATATTGACCAGTTTCAATTGCCGCACCTGGAATTGAAGCAGCGTTCTCTGGATTGCAAGTCTGGTGTGCTTTTTTTTGTACCACCCAGTTAAACAGACAAACGTGTTGTTAGTTGCTATACATTTCTATATGTGCAGAAAACTGGTAACTGGTATTTAACATGTTTTTCTGGTAGTGCAAAAAAATTACGACGTTTAATATTCGTAACTACGACAGTAAATGTTGTTGATTTAAAGCTTTCGTGACTGCAGGGATTCATATTATTGGTTCTTTCGGTAAAGTCACGTAAAAGGGAAACAATAAAAATATAAAACAATAAAATTCTCACGACGTTTCGACTGCAACACAAGAAATCATCATTAGGTGTGAAAACCACAGCAAGAAAATTTGAAAAAAGTGTCGGTTTTGGTAACGTTAGCATCACGGAGAGCGATTTGGCAGTCAATCAAATGGACGAGTCCATCTATGTTCGGAAAAGAGGAGGGGGGAGACGAAAATAATGGATGCGGTCTGAAAGCCACCGTAAGCGTGAACAATCAATTAGGACCAGAAATGGTTTATCAAATCCTTCCAATGATTGCTAAGCCAGAATCCATCTTCCCGGTTGAAATTGTTTGTTTGTATTTGTGGATAGCCTCATGAACGAATCTCTCATGGTAGCCAGATGGCTTGCAGAGAACCTCTGTCTTGGAGAAATCTGATTTATATGGAAGTCGAAAAAGATGGCAAGCTACCTTTTTTGGATATCCTAATAAAAAAGAGACCTGATGGTTCAATGAGCCACTCTGTCTACAGGAAAGCGACCCATACAGATGCTTATCTGAAACCGGATTCCCACCACCATCCATCCCAGAAAAATTCCGTCATCAAGACTCTGTACCATAGAGCCCAATGCATATCCGACCAGGAACACATAGCCAGTGAACCCAAGCACATACACCAAGCTCTTAAGGCTAATGGTTACTCCGACTACACAATCCGCAAAGCTATCACTCCAACCATGAAGAAGAACCCTCTTGAGGAGCCATTCAAAACCATCACTTTACCCTACATTGCGGGGATCACAAAAAAGATCTCCAAAATCTTGAACAAACACAAGGTCCAGGTCCGATTCAACACATTACATAAAATCCGTGATCTGGTTCCGTCTGTAAAATGTGATTCCGGACATACAGTACCCTGGCGTCTACAAACTAAGTTGCCTCTGTGGTAGGAGTTACATTGGAGAAACCAAACGACATGTCTTGGACCGCATCCGTGAACACAAAGCAGACCTCAAACACGGTAGGACCAATACCTCGGCCGTGGCAGATCACTGTTATAATTCAGTAGGCTCACATGACATTGACTTCTCCAAGACAGAGGTTCTCTGCAAGCCATCTGGCTATCATGAGATTCGTTCATAGCAATCATTGGAAGGATTTGATAAACCATTTCCGGTCTTAATTGATTGTTCACGCTTACGGTGGCTTTCAGACCGCATCCATTATTTTCGCCTCCCCCCTCCTCTTTTCCGAACATAGATGGACTCGTCCATTTGAATAACTGCCAAATCGCTCTCCGTGGTGCTAACGTTACCAAAACCGCCACTTTTTTCAAATTTTCTTGCTGTGGTTTTCACACCTGATGATGATTGCTTGTGTTGCAGTCGAAACGTCGTGAGAATTTGATTGTTTTATTATTTTATTGTTTCCCTTCTACGTGACTTTACCGAAAGAACCAATAATATAATAGTAAATGTTGTGTCACTCTTTTATTGAAATAGGCAAAACAAAATAACAAAATATATCAATTACACGATGTAAGTACAGCACAGTATAATATACATTTCTCAATATACTGCAAGTACAAATTTGTAGAGGGAGTAGTCTCTTACACCACATATTATGAATGTGATCATTAGACAACCAGTTTTTAAAACCGAATTAAGCACTTGTATGTGGTCTAAATTGATATTTATATGAAAAACGCCACAGAATACACAAAACAAACTATAACAGATACATTACAGTTGTAATAAACTAGTGAAGGCTGTATACAATTCATTAGCCTTACACACAGGATTCTGTGCATAAAAACGTACGAATGAAAGTTATGTTCTTAGAGAAGCTCTCGCTTTATCCAGTATGTCCTTTCGCATCTTCGGATAGTCTGGATGAGCTCCCAGTACCTAAAGATACAAAGAGTGGTTTACTAGAAATAGGGTTTTACAAATGACATTCACACAAAATAAAACCATTTTAAGAACATGAAAATGAAGTGCACGGTGGCATAATCATGTTTTCACAACTTTCAGTCATAGAGCAAAGTTAAGCAGTTTAAAATTACATTTTCACTCACCTTGTGGCAAATATCAATTGCATCCACATACCGCTTTCCTTTGAGGTAGTTAAAAGCAAGCTTGTATCCTGTTAATATAAAATGAAATTCATCTCCATCGTGGTTTTTGAAAGCATATGGCATGTATAAAAGAAATTAAATGTAATGACATCTTCTGTAAATCAACTCACCAATGGTGGGGTTGGATTGACTGGTATATTTCCATGCCAGCTCATAGTTCAAAGCTGCATCTTTGTAGGATTGTTCCTTTTCCATGATGAAGCCCATGTACTCATACGCTTTGCTACAGGACTGAAGGAATAAAAAGAAGTAAATGGCTGAATTAAAATCAATATGTAAAGTAAGTGTGACAGAGCAAGCTTAGATAAGTAATTTTATTCATTAATTTTTTGGAGAGCTTTCCATACTTTGTAATGTATGCCCATTCACTTTTTGCATTTCAAACTTAAACACAACACTATCAAAAAAAGAATGCCATCACTGACATTGAGATGGCACCTTTCATCGGTGTGCCTTGACATGCTTATTGAGCGTATCAGGGAATCACAACTTCTGCTGGCCTCGCATAATGGTACCTCTTACATACCTTGTTGTGTTGCAGACAGCGACGCAGGAGCTCTCCAGCTATGTCGTATTTGCTGGCCTGGATGTAGATGTCTGCAAGTAGGAGCCAGCTGCGCTCAAACTCCTCCGCTTCCTCAGGATTCCAGGTCATCTTCCCCACACGCTTGAGGTGATTGCGAGCGCGCGGCGTCTGCTTGAGGATCATGAATGCCGTGGCCATGCCCAGCAGTGCAGGTACGTGCTCCTTCTGCGGGCAAAATACAAAGCACCGTTGCAACCTTTTCAGCTACTTTATCAAACAACCGTTAATGAGAACAGTACAGAGAGAGCTAGGGCTTGGGTTATGTAATAGTGTTGGACGTATACATTATAGGACACCAGAGCCAAACAATAGGCATGTAACTCGGCGATTTATATCTGTTACGCTTATGATATGTATATTAAATCACGTGTGTGAGAATTGATCAAAAAAAAATAATTATATGCAAATGTTGCTAAAGTTACACGGATATTAATGAAGTGGACTGTACAAACTTGAACGAAATTAGAGGAAACAACATAAACCAATACTAAACAGAAAATATGTTTCATCAAATTGCAACCTCATCGTAACAATTCACCAAACTGATGGGACAGTGACTCATCATTAAACACCAAAATTGAACAGGTAAGACATGAAAATGTATATTTCCACAACTGGGACCTGGACATACAAACGATAAACAGATGAACCGTTTACCCAGTATTTGTGTGTTCCCTCTATCCAGCTCACAATGTACCTCTGTGCTTGCTATGTCAGTGAAGGCGTTGAGGGCCTTCTCCACACTGGCCTTCTGCCGCGTGGCCATGAGGCAGTGGTTCTCCAAGATGCGCACTCGCAGTGCATCCTGGGTGCTCCGGGGACGCAGCTCCTGCAGCAGCTTCTCCGCCGTGCGCATCGCCATCTGCTCCGACTCCTGCCGTTCCCGTTGTGATGAACTGTAGTGAACCATCGCGATAATAAATTATAGGAGCGACATTCAACATGATCTGTCATCTTAGATCCATTTCATTTCCTAAAATAGTACAGCGCAGAACACCACTGTTAAGCTGATGTAACTACTTAAACTACTCTATACTATATAAGGCAATGTTAATCATGTTGGTCACAATGTATTTCTAGTTGGAGCTTGGACACCATGTCCAATGTAGTCCTTTAAGAGTGTTTTTTTTGTATTTCACAAATTATTTGATCACTCACCTCACATTTCCATCAAGGTTTTCAAACACCTCCCCTCCAACAATATCATTGTCTGGGTTCAGGCAGATCTCAATCATGTTGTAGATGGCTTTCTGCCCCCAGTCACTGTCCTTGCGAGCTTTGTTGAAATGCTTCAGAGCGTCATTGGGTTCTCCAGTGTACCTGCACATACACATTTTGAACAATGTGTTATCCTCTCTATTTTTATGAAACCTGCATTTGAAGTAACACATTTCAGCATTAAAACTACAATTAAGTTTTACGTGGAAACAGGCCTACCAGAGATACAATCCTTTGCAGTAATTGTAACCAGGGTCCAGGGGTCTCTGGCTGCCATTCTTCTCTGCTAGCATCAGAAACCTGGGTGCCTCCCCCAGTGTTCCAGCTCTTCTCAGCAGTTCAATCATTCGTGCCAGAGCACCAAAATTCTCTGTTGTATTCCATATGAACATAAAAAACATGAGACTCTTAACCAAAAGTGCAAAATAAGGCAGACTATGAAATTAAAAGTGACATTTCATGAGTGCACTGCAGCCAACAGAAATCAAACAAACCTGGTTTTCGCTCAATAAGCTGCTGGAAATGGAAGATGGCCTGCTCATAGTCATGTTTCCTGAATAGAAGATCTGCCATCATCTGCAACATTACATTCGTGTTATAGAATATATAATCGGTTAAATTATTTATAATTGCAATATAACTTAATTTATGGTGAGGCAGTGTTTGCCAAACATGTGGGTCATAAGATTGCAAGTGTAACTGTGCTCCAATATACATTATTGGTGCCCTATCCAGGACATCACGATCTATAACAATACTGTGCAGAGATCATAGTAAGAGTGCCTCCCAGGAAAATTAACGGGTTTGTTTTAGGAATAAAAAAAACACTTACCATTGTGGCATCATCATTATCTACATCATTCCTCAAGATAGTGGCACATTGCTGCTGGCAAACATCCAGATTGTCCTGAGCCATGTATATCCGAGCCAATTCCAGTATAACCTGCAACAAAAATATCGGAATTAGTAATACAGTAGTCCCCCTGTTAACACTGACATCTGTTATGATTGCTATGTGTAACCCTAATTGAGTAATTTGCATGTCATTTTCTTTAAAGTTGGCAAATTTGGACCATGCCGCTGGAACAGAATGGTCTACTATTTTAGGATTACATAATGGAATCCAAAACATCAACTGTAAATGCAGACAGCACATGTTTTACAGTTAATACACTCGTGGTATTAACCAGGGTGGCCTGCTGTAGTAGAACCACAACATTCTACAAACGGCGAACGCGTCAACCACTGGGCCATGTAACTGCCCTGATAGAGCACAAGAGCCAAGGAACTTCTGAAGGAGTACGTCATACACAGCTTGGCTGTTTTCCGGCACCCAGGTAAATTTACGACAATGGCAAAACAATGAAAAGTATTGGATCCTGTGAAGACTAACTTTATATAATATGCAAACATGATGAAGTGATTTGTCCCAGGCACCTAAGAGGCAGGCAGTACCTTACTGTCATTCTCACAGTAGACCAGAGCCTCCCGGTAGAATTTAGCAGCCTTGTCATGCTCGCGCTGATCGATGGCTTGTTCAGCAAGTTGGGAACATATTTGAGCCGCTAGCTGCTTCTGCGCTGGCACGAGGTCTGGTTGCTCGACCTGCACACGCTTGAGGATACGTGCCTGCACCTCTCGGGCCTGCATACACAGACAGGTCAATGCACAAATTGAGCAACCACTCTTTACTGAAGCTGCCAACCACTTGCATGCATTTGGTAAATACTAGGATTGCTGCAATATGGCAAAATTACGATATAGCATATAAAATATCAGTGATAATCATCTTGTCTGTTTTGCAAAATATCAATTGTTGATCGACTTTTTTTGTAAATATTTTACTTTCGAGCTAAATATGAGTGAAAAAAACAAACTCATTAACTTAAGCTGTTAATAAATAGCTATTATCCACTAAATTAATGCTTTGTAAAATGTTTTCCAGTGTAATTGAATATACGGCGATTATATGACGTAATTTTCACTGGTAATTTAATTATAGTTTTTTTAATATAACTAACAGCATGTGTGTAATAAGCATTCCAGATTGTTGTAATTATAAACAACTTAGACTTGTGTTAGGAAACTGCATTTAAAGGAATCTTTATTCATATTAGAATTACAGCAAAGCACAAAAATAATCAAATAAAAATGTTGCGCTCATTGTGAAATCATGGAGAAATTATATCGGGATAATCGTTATATTGTAATTTTTTACATCCTATTTTATCTTGAAAATATATATCACGGCAACCCAAGGAAATACTATTTATTTGAGCACAGCCTGAATTGTATTCAACCTGTGGGGACTACTATTCTGTGGTTGTGAAGCGGGAGCTGAGTTCTCGAACAAAGCTGTCGGTTTACAGGTCGATCTTCATACCCACCCTCACCTATGGTTAAGAGCTTTGGGTGATGACCGAAAGGATGAGATCGCGGGTACAAGGGGCCGAAATTAGGTTTCTCCACAGGGTTGCCGGGCTCACTTTCCGTGATTGGGTGAGGAGTTTGGTAATCCAATCCGGGAGATCCTCAGAGTCGAGCCGCTGCTCCTCCAGATCGAGAGGAGCTAGTTGAGGTGGTTTGGGCACCTGGTAAGAATGCTCCCCAGTAGACTCCCCCTGGGACTCTACCGGGAATGTCCCACTGGGCGAAGACCCCGGGGCCGGCCCAGGATACGCTGGCGGGACTATGTCGCTTGGCTGGACTGGGAACGCCTAGGAATTCACCAGGAAGAGCTGGAGTCTGTCACCAGGGAAAGGAGGTGTGGACTGCCCTACTCAACATGCTGACGCCACGACCCTCACCAGGAAGCGGATAAAGAAACAAACGGATATAAAAACTAAGCTGCAACTGTATTTTAGGCTACAAGCAATATGGATTTAATAAATGTTATGTTCTTACCTTGGTTAATGCTAGCACAGCATCATCAGTCTTTCCTGTCTTACTGTGGACTTTGGCCAGCTGAACCAGATACTTGGTGTCTTCCATTAATGTCTGTAGGTCATTAACTGAAGCCAAAAGCACAACAGTTATTTAACTAAAAAAACTGACCGATTACGATTTATGCACATTATTTGTTACTGTCACACAATACTAATGTATACATTGACAATATTCGAACTTTAAGGTATTTCCATCATGTCATATTATTCTGCATGAAAGCCAGTATGGTTATGTTAATGTATAATATGGACTGGTGTGAATTTATGTCTGTATATGATACAGGAAGACCATTTACCAGGATGGTGATCCAGTGCCTGCCTCAGAACCTTTTCCGCCTTGTCATACTGACGCAACATGAGCAGCAGTTCGGCCAGGTCATAGCGCAATAAGTTCTGCTGCCCACTCTTCAGTGCTGCCTCGTAGTAGCTGATGGCCTGGACATTCCACGTTCAAATATATTTTTAGTTGAAGCATCAACTTCCATTACATGTAAATGTATTTTAATTTAGAACTTTTGTCATGCAGTTTCCTACTATGGCCTTTGTGGCTTTAAACATTTGTGAGTCAACATAAGCTCATTGTCAAAGATTGCAGTAAGTGGTGAAATACTGATGCACCTTGCCATAGTTGTGAGTGCGAACGAGGGCTTGACCAATTTTACTGGCCAGAACTCCATCACGAGGGTTCTTCTTCATGGCCTGCTCATACACGTCAATCGCCTTCTCTGGCTGGTGATACCACACATGAGATGAAGCATAGTTACAAAAAAATATGAACCATTGACATATTTAATAGTATAGATGCACAGAGCTCTCCACACATACAATTACCTCTTGAATGTTCATGTAGGCATCACCCAAAAGAATGAAAGTATGAGGGCCTGGTAGCTTTTCCACCAGCTCCCTGGCAATGAGACCACACATCATGTTCATCAGCATGTGTAACTTCTCAATGGCTAAACATTGCAACACACGATTGTCCTATAATGTAATTCACCTCTTGATTATGGCTAAAACAGGTCTTGGCATATTAACATGTATGACATGTTTCACATTAGACACTACATCAATGCCTCTTTAGCTAGAGAAAGACTTGAATATGGTGTCTGTTGCCCAAAGGCTGTGCTGAATCAGTCCCTCTGGTAAAAATGGCAGGATAAGGCAATGATTGTGACATTGCACTTGTCCTTCTACTGCCTCAATTAGAAACTGCATCAATCTCATGCAGTTTAAGCTTGTAGCTGAGAGTTTTAGTGCAAAATATGCGCAAACATTGTTATGCCAACTTGAAATCCATAGCATGCTGGGATTCTCGTTATGTTTTGAAATGTAATTTTCTAAATCGCATTTTGATACAACAAAATCAACGTTATTGTTTGTAAACAACAAGCAGGCATCATACCGATAGCAGGCAGCATAGAGATTCTTGTCCTTGCGGTGGTGCAGGTAAACATGGGCCATCTTCTCCTTGGCTTGTATGTAGTATGGCTGCTCTGGTGAGATGCCGCGTAGAACGCTGAGCGTGCTTTCGACGTCACCACGGCCGAGCGCCAGCTCCGCATTGGAGATGACCACGCGCACCTCCTCCGGTGTCCCAGAAAACTCGTTAATGGCATCCTGCATCACCTTTGCAGCTTCATGCTGAACAAAGTGCACAACACGGTAGGTAAAAAAAGAGTGAGCGATAGATTCATCAATTCAACACCATAGCGCACTTTGATGTGTAGTAATATTCAATCATAGTCACTTTTAACACAGTCGAAATAATCTGCAGGAATAGGTCAATATTTTCTATTTTTTCCAGGATAAACATATAATCCAGAATTGGGCCAACACTAACTGCATAGCACATTAAAGTTCTTTATAACAGCTAATTACAAACTTGAGTCACGCAGTGGCCAACCACTGAAATACCTGATGAGGAATGACAGCTATTTATGATTGTCACACACGGTACCTGTTCACCATTCAGGCGGAGAGCATCTGCGAGCTCGAGAAACACCGATACTCGATCCGTCGTGTTGATGTCTGGGACTTTCCCTTTAGATTTCGTGGCCCCAGATCGCTGCTTCATGCCAGGCAAACTCATGGCCAACTTTAGCGTTCGGAGAGCCTCAGGTACATCGCCCGTCTCCTTCAACACTCTGGCTTTGATCAAGTGGTAAAGAGGATGATCTCGTATCTGCGAAGACCAACATTGTATTAGTTGCCAGTCCAGTACATAACTCTTGGAGAAAATGTAGAGAGCAAAATCATTCTAGCAAAACATTGAAGGATATATAGTTAAAATGAAATTCCAAGCAGACCTCAAAGCTATGGCTGAGGGCCAGCTCCAGGGACTGCGAGCACTGCTTATAGTTTTTCTGTGACAGGTAAATCTGAGCCATAAGCAGGTGAGCATCCGAGTAAGAGGGGCTCTTTTCTAAGCAATGCTGTAGACTTCCTTGTGCTGCATCAATGTCTCCTAAACACAACACAAACGAAACATTACAATCCAATTTCATTTACAAGGTATACTCTGTTCTAAACCAATATCTTGCAAGTATTTAAAGGTAGTGCATTTTATACTGTTCAAGCCCTGATACTCGTGGTCAAAGGACAATTATCTGAATTAAAATGTCTGAACCTGAGCCCCATTAAGCGTAGAGGAATGAATACCTGAGATGTACTTTGTTCGAGCCATTAGGTAGAGTCCCTCCATCACTCCTGGAGCAACCTTTACTATTGTTTCCAATAAGGTAACACATTGCTTCAGAACAGGAGGTAGGGCCTGTCCAGGTGCCCCAGGCTGCAACACAGTAATCCACCACATTATCAATTGATACATATATAAGTAATATGTACTCACAAAATAACTAGCCCTAAGAAAGCCTCACTGATCATCAAGGGAAATTTTCATTTGGGTTGTAATTTTAATACAATAATTTTTTTAATGAATTGAACTATATGTTGCATACATCTAAGGTTTAATAACCACAAAACGATGGAAGGAAGCAGCTGCAAGAATAATTGTATTACCTGTGTAGGGCAGAACGTCAGGTACTCTTTGACAATTTCTAATATAAAGTCAGGATTCAGCTTTTCAAAGTACAGCATTCCTAGTGGAATTCCAGTAAGGGCCACAAAGTGGGTGTCCACAGCATCATCCAGGAGAGAAAGTGTTTCATCAAGGCCCTTTTGCCTTCTCACAGCAAGTACTGCTCGCAGGTAGGAGAGCTCCTGTCAAAAGAGCAATGACTCAAAATTCAAGAAATGATCTCTACTACAAATATATATTCATAATACTCAAGACAAGATCAAAACACTTTTTAAAAGCAGAAGTTGTATTCCATGACATAATATTGCAATGCTTTGATTTGGACTTGATGGAAATGCTTACACCCGATTTTCCAATGCTCTCTTGTATTTCTTTAAGGAGTTCTAGTTGTTGTTCAGCATCATCAAGACGGCCCTCAAAAAGCTGGCACTTGATAATACCTACAAATTAATAAAATAAGCAGTGAGTACTCATGAATGCAAGAAAGACATTTTTTCAAAATTAAAATGCACAGCAAGATGACATACCCATCAGAGCTGTGATACTAGTTTCATCCAGGCTCATCCCATGCCTGTAATGCTTCATTGCCTCCTGAAAATTCCTCTGCATTACAAGCTGGTTTCCAAGCTCTATGGCAATTTCTGCATCATGAGGGGTTATATGAAATGCTCTTTCAACCAGCGCATATGTCTGCTGTAAAACAAGCTTGTTCCGTCCACTCTGAAAAAAAAATCAATATCAATTATTATAATTTGTTACAAGAGAACAAGAGAAAATTGTACATATCCACAAAAAAGAGTAGACCCACCACTCTGCTGAAGACCAGAGCCAAGCGGTGACATAAGCCAGGATTGCTGGGCTCAAATCGATCCAAAGCATTTATCAAGTCACCAATTCTTGCCGCAGCCTACAGTTAGAATGAAAAGAATTAAGGAAATGTTATATACTGTATTTTATTTTACATTACAATGCATTACATTAAATAATGTTGCATTTCACAAAACTTTTATTAGGTATATGTTAATTACCATATGGTTTTGTGGTTCAAATTCCACTTACCACTGTAGAATCTCCTTCCCTGCAGAGGGCGTGTAGAATCTGCATCTGGAGGGCTTCAAGGGAATGACTGTCTTTCTGCAAAATCCTTTAAATATAGTGAAACGAAAGTGTGAACTGTGCAATAATTACACTAAAGAATGCACAATGATATGTGTAAAACCTTAACTTTTACGATACCTCTGGCCAGTCTCCAGTGTCTGCTCCCAGTCCTGCAGGGCCAGCTGCAACCTCATCTTCTCTACCAGGGCTGGCAGGAAGCTAGGAAAAGCCACTATGGCCTGGTTTATTACCTCCAACGCACCAGAGTAGTTGTGCTTCAATTCAAAGTATTTTGCCTAAAAAAAAACATTGTAGAAAATCAGAGTCAATGATTAATGTTACACGTTAAATACTGGCACGTTAACCGTTTAACATGAGTGTAATGCACAAACCCACCTTTCCCATCAGAGCAAATGCATCTTTGCCTTGCTGCAGTCCTTCATCTATGTATTTTATGGATTTCTTCATAAAAACATCCTTTCCACAAGTCAGGTCAATCCATCCCTTCAGTATTAAGCCCTGTAGCACAATAATGGCTTTTAATACTGTATACTGATGTACAAAGTATCTCAATGTAAAAAAAACAAAGTTGTTAATGTATAAACTTCACGTGGCTCACCTTCTTGGCATCGCTCGATATTTTGATCATTCGATCGATGTATTCTCTGGCTTTTTCATGGCGACCAATGAGCCACAGAAACAACGCACCAAAATAAAGAGATTTCTCTCCGGCAGTCTTGCGGTCCTCTTTTAACTTTGCCTCCAGTTCTTGTACTGCTTCACGGTCTGCCATTAACAGCCACGTGACATGTCATGAAAATGCTCACCATTGAAGTGCACGTCGCAAGATATCTCATTTATGTGTTTGTTCACAATGTAAAAATTACTGTACATTTTGCAGTTCTTACCGACTGTGGAGCTTTTCTTGTGGGCATAAATGAGGGCAATAATGGAGCAAAGCGATACATCCTGTTTGGTTTTGCTTGCTTCAAGTTCCCTAATTGCCTCTGGAATACGTTCTGCAGTGATAATAGACAAGAAAACAATGGTCTATAAAAACAAATGACCACGTCCATATTCTTGCAAATAAATGTAGGAAAATGTATTTGGTTAATATAGTTCAGGATTATAAAATAATACATAATGTAGACCTATCTGTAAAATACTGCATATCTCCACAATTATTTTGGCATTGATCAGTCAGGTATTTCTGGAATGCAGTATATGCTCAATGCAGAAAAGAAACATTGTAACATTTTATGGCGATACAAATTCAGGACAAATTCAACCTCCGGTTTTATAACAACAAAATATATCCTCAAAAGAATATAATGTTTACTTCATACATCTGTCTCTTTAAAACAAATCAATAACCCATTGGCCCACTGGCCTTTTGGGAGTGTATAATTTTAGGAGCAATAATTCAGTTCTTGCCAACCCCGCACTGGTATCTACAACGAATGGTATCTACATCAGCAGAGTCAAGCTTGCTCGAATTAATGCTGGTGAACCACCAGCACATGTAGTAACCAACCCAGCCAGCAAGTCCCGCCACTCATGAATATTCGAAATTAAGTCCACACAGCACCTTCCATGAGCATTCCAAGCGCGCGGAAGAAGGCAAACACTGGGTCCGCTCCGTACTTCTTGATGGCTTCGCCAGCTGCGGTCTGCACATGTCGGGCCAAACGTTCCCGGCAGTAGTGGCTCAGCAGCGACTGTAATGACATGTGGCCCCAGTGGAACCCGTGAGAGCTGCAAGTGCCACCGTTTAGTACTTTGGGTCGCATCTTCCTTTCAGTCAGAGGTGGGGAACCTTTTCCTTCTTGAGGACACGAAATGGGAGTGTAAATATTTGTGTACCGCACAAATACGTGGGCCACATATTTCCACTCACATCTCAATCCTAAAGCTAGAAAGTGTTGCTACATCAACATTTATTAACCTCTAGTACCTGATTAGTGCGGCCAAGATGCTTGCACGACGGAATACGATTGTTAGTCCTCTGATCGTAAAAAAAAGAAATACGATTGTTTATCAATGAAAGCCTGAGTAAACATGACTATCTTTATCGGGAGGGTCCTACCAAGTTTCCGCATTATGCGGCAAACGGTTCAGAGTCAGAATATGTATTTATACAGGAGAAATCCGATGAGCTATACAGCTCTTTTCCGCAGATATCCTGTAGAAGCAGGTCAGAACGTTACAACAACAAAAAAAACAATTAAAAAAACGATAGGTTACTACGTATGGTACAACTTCAGAAAAATTGCGGCATATATATTTTTTACACAATTTTCCAAATTCGGTCGATGACGTTTCGACATTAAATGAACGAGTGACAATATAATTTGCGGGCCGTTCTGAAGATTGGAAGCGGCAGTTTTGAATGAAGTCACGTGGCCCGCGCGACATCCCGTCGCCATGGCGACCGTAACCGAGGTCGACAGCGGCCTCCCAGCAGCAACAAGGCGCGCGTTACCGAATCAAAACGCCAAACCGCGGCGCCTGCAACCTTCCGCGCAATATGAAGGCGCACCGCCCATCAGTCGTGGCGCGCGCGTGTACCCCCCCACCCTCGCAAACAACAAAAAAAAACCTCGGCCCGCTCTCCCTCTCTCTGTGTGTCTCTCTCCTCACCACGGCGTTCTCATCCTCGTCCGCCATCGCGCGCCTTCGACTCGACGCGACGTCACTTCCCTAGCGTCGACCGTCGCCCGGCAACGGCCGCCCCCGCGTCGACGTGCGGCATTAGCCCCGCCCCGCAAACGACGTCACGAGACTCCCCTGCTCCGCGATGACGCCACAGAGGTCCGGGTTCTGTTCGTCCCCTTCCGGCGTCGTTTTCTCTTCGGGTCTAAAAACATAAACCATAAACCACTGCCGGCCATGCAGGATGTTGTTGTCCACGGCGATGCATATATAATCACAGCATGTTCGTTTGCGCGTTGTGCCACAGTTAATGTGTGGCTAATGTAGACTCGGTGCCCTGTGGCACGAGGTGTCTATTTGGTGTTTAAACATCTTCACGCCTCCTGTGGTATTTTCAAAAAGGGGTAAAGCCGATTCTTATTTCGTAATTTTGATACTTCGAGAAAAAAGGTCCGATAGCCACGTTTCGACCACGCCCATTGGCCTATTGAGCTGTCATTTGTGGCCAGGTCGCTTCTGAAAATGAACGGAATAGCCGTGGGATTTACCTGGCCAGATGAAAGTACAGTTTGATTTGTATTTTTTAAAAGTTATTTACCTTTCCTATACTTTGCACTCCTATGTTTTTTTGTATTGTTGTTGTAACGTTCTGATCTGACCCTGCTGGATATCTCCATAAATACATATTCTGATTCTGTTGGAAACTGATGGTCTGTGATTACTTCCCACACGCCTCCACCACCGAGGAATAGCCGATAACCACAATCGATTCCAATTCCAGAAGATATTCCGTCGACAAATTTCTTATAAAGCCATTCCCTGCGAAAAACCACTACAGTATTCCGAAACTTGACGTACGCAGAATCAGGAACAGACCCCTCTGGGATCGACTCCCCATACCGACCGCCACGGCCACACGTGGCGCTCTGCTGGGGTTGTTAATGAGTCCCAAAAAACTAAACTAAACCCTTCCGCGGTGGTCCATCCCCGGATCACTGCCACCTGGGACCACGCTGCAGTTGTTTCGGAACTGCTGATTGTTGTCGCACAAACGCACGGTGCTTTTCACACGTCTTTGTGTAGCGTTTAAAAAAAAAACAATTGGCCTGCGCTATTGTAGTGCAGCATTGCGTGTTTTACCCATCATTTACAAATTTGATTTGGCAAACACATTGCAAACAGCGGTTATCGATTTCCGCGCAGGCCTACAGCAATATGCTTAGAAGAGCAGACCACATACCATCTCCTTCAGGCGTGAACAAGAAATTGCAGAGCTTCGCTTATGCCTTTTAACTGGGAAATGAGGACAAATGTACCACGCGGCAAATTAGACCGAAGTGTTGTTTATACGTTCGCCACGACCTTGGAACCAGTAGTCGATTATAAATAAATAAAAAAACGGTTACCGGTTGTTTAAAACGCCTTCGTGTGTGAATGAAATATCAGAATACAGTACTGAATTCCACAGCAATATAAAACGATGTAAGAATCTTGATTCACAATTGCTGGGCTACAGGAGCAAGACTTGATTTCCCTGCGATGGGCATTTTCTAGACCCTGAAAAAATGCTGAACACAGTTGACCCCTAACAACAATAATATTGTAATGTCATTTGTCCAAGAGAGTTTCGATAGGATGTTTCTACAATTCCATTGTTTTGCAAGCAGGAACAGAACCTTGAAAAAAAGGAACACAAGTTCGCAGACATGTTAAAGCACTTGTACTGCCATCTCGTGGCCATGTCGTAGCCATGCATGCTTTGAGATGTTACTCAAATCGGTTTGCTCCATCAACTGTTTCATTTGGTCACGTGGACGGCTACATAGGCCTTTATTAGGCACAAAACCATTGAACTGAAAAGTCGATGCACGTGCAATTACATACCCTTGACATGTCACATCAAAAGTAAAAATAGGTACATCAGGAACGACGATGCTCACCAAGGATTGTTTTCTGAAAATTGAACTGGGTAAATAAAGGCATAAACCAAGTAAAATGTAGGCCTCGAATTTTACGTCATAACTGATGTAGAAATTATAACTTTAACAAATGTAGCTCTAAAGTTCAACTTTAAATGATTGCTTATTACCTATCAGTGGTCGAAATTCAAATTAAGTCCAAGTATGCAACCTTTTCTTACTGCAGCCCGTATCACTGCTGTTCACCGTTTGAGGATACGTTGTAGTCCTGTATTGTTTCTTGCAATTACACCAAGGCCAAGAGGGGAACACATAGTTCAGAGAATAAACACTAATCAGAAACAGCAAATTCAGATTTGAGGAAAGTGGGTTTGGGCAGGACATCTCGAGAAAGGATTATGGCCAATTAATAAGATAGGTGATGGAATGGCAGCCAAAGGAGAGACACGCCAAGCTGATGACCACTGTGGAGATGGGGTGATCGGATGAGTTCATGTGTAGGAGGTAGTTGGAGAAGTATCGCAAGACCATAAGGGCTAGCAATGGCATGGGCAGGGCATGGGCAGGGCATGGACAATTCTCACACAACTCCAACATTCAGCAGACATTATCATGCAAAAGGAAATGTATAACAAATATTATGCAGCTGTTTTTAATACAGGCAGTGATGTGCTGCACATTACAAGCATTATCTACATTATCAGCAAGGTACAGTATATTACAGATAATTAAAAAATAAACACAATGTACTTCACAAGAGGTAACCTGTGCAATGTTCAGTCTTATAAGCCATGCTTAAATGCAGGACATATGCTAAGACAGCAGGTGAATTACCTATGTACAGTGACAACTGTTAAATCAAATTCACAAACATGGACCCAACTGACCATGGCTGAAATACGGAAACAAAATTGGACTGAGGGTTTGACGAAAAATTTCTTCAACGTGTCACAGGTATCAATTGTGTAAGGTTGACAAATGTCTATGAAACATTAAAGTGTACACGGATACACACCTACATTTTTCAATTTGATCATTTAAGGGGAAGGTTTTACAAGGGTTTTCAATCTAATCCTGATAAATACTGGCCTACTTTGCAGATAAGAGAGATTCTGTAGGTAAACAGAGGAAAAATGTTTCATAATTGCCATTCCCAAAAAAGGCAGTAGCACACATTACAAATCTGAAGAAAAATCATACAAAAACCCATATTGCTTCACTTTTAAAACACAAGGGCTGTGGCACTGTATTTTGAAAATGCAAGTATGCATGCACAAATGGACTGGGTAGTTCTTTGTTGGTCTTAATGTTACTGTGCAGACATCTCAGAGCAATTACCATCAGGACACATGAAACACAACCAAATATGAGGAACTGGCTCTGTTTGTGCTCATTATATATCAAGTGCATAATATACATTGCAAAACATAGGTTAAGTCAAATTATAATGGATAATTTACATTTTGAGGTTGAACTCAATATATATTTTCTGAAAACTGCACTCATAAGTACGGCACTGTTATACATATTTTTCAATGCATATTTCCTTTAATGTACAGTTTAAAATACATCTCTGCACAAACATCAGAGGAAAAGGCCACCCACCTCCCCCACGGATTAAGTGGGTCTACAACGTTTCATCTTCCAACCATGACTAACCAACACGTATTAAGATATGGTTGTTTGGAATGCCTTGTAACAAATAGGTCCTGTCTGTGTCAGCTTTGAGAAGTTTCAAAAGGCTCCTCCAAGGCTGCTCAAGGAAACTTCTGTCGGTAGTGGAGTGTCAGGTCCCCTCCACTCTTCCAGATGAAATGCTTAACTGTCCTGAGATCCATGTTTGGATCAAGAACCTTGCACAAAAACAGAGGCATATGAATGCTATTATTAGTACAATCATTTGTCGCTAGTTACCTTTGAAATAAGGCACATCATGTACTGATACAACACATGTTTTTCTCAATAAATTGCTCATTTGAAAGAAAATCTATATATAAAAAATGGAAATTTGTGAATGTGTGTCTGTTCGAAATGTTTAGCATACTTCCCAACATGCAACAAACTTGAAATTTGCCATGTGGGCAGTGTTCCGACTGTACACAATGCAAAAAGTATAAAAACGCACGTTTGTATTTTGGGGGGGGTGCACAATAATGGATATATTTTGCATGGCAAGTGAGCGGTGATGTCACATCTGTGATGCAGTGTGCCTGCTGACGTCACGCATCCCCCCCCCCACCCCACCCTCCGCGTAGGCCGTGTATTAACTTGGACAAGAATCCAAGTTTCGGGCGAAGCCGGGTAGTAAAGCTAGTATAATATACATTCAGATGTAAAATGTAGTGTAAATCCAAATGCATATTAGGACTTGCCTTGCACGCTTACGGTACATTAATAGGACATAACACACATATGGTTAAGAAACTTAAAGCCATCACATTGTTGCATAGTGATGCAAAATGGCTTGTGTTCCTTACAACAGCCCCTCAACTGCTTTAGAAATGCAGTTTTTCAACTCTACTTCTGTGCAGGCTTACCTGATCTTGACAGAGGAGCTCGATTTTTTCTTCGGCCAAAGCAGCAATGTCTTCCTCCTTGTCCATCTCCCGAGTCTTGTCGTTGTTGGGCGAGTTTGGGGTCTGCGACTCTGTCTCGGCATTTATTATTTTCTCGTAGACGTGCTCCATGACCTTGCGCACCTGAAGCATGTCGCTGGCTGAGAGACGATCCCTACAGTAAAGGCAGATAATTACAACTTGCGCGGTTGCCACCCTTTGGTCCAGGGTCAAAGTTCATTCAACAACCCGAATGCTAATTCTTGTAAAATAACCTTACATTGTAAAAGCAAATTCCTGTAAGATCATACTTACTTCTTTAATGTTTTAGCTCCAGAGTTCGAGTGAGGTTGAAGGTAGAAGGGTATTTTGTTGAATTTTGGCATATTTTTCTGTAAAAGAGGTATAGGCAATATGAATAAAAAAAACAAAGATCAACTGACAAAATGTTCAATCATTTTCATACACTGTTTTGGAAATGACCAAGCAAATTGAAGGAATATGCATTGAACCCAATAGCTTACTTACATCCACAGCCACATCAACCACCCACTGAGGCACAGTCTCATTCAACAGCACAGACTCTGTTTCTCCACCAGCATCTCTGCACAGAAGCCTGAGACAACAATTGGCAACTCATAAAGACAATTTTA